GTGTAGCTCAGTCAGTGTAGGGTATAGGCTACGTAATGGTGATTAGAATCAGCGCGGAGGCAACATTCTCTCCACAGTTTCGAGACTGGCTACCAGGCCCGCACAGGCTCCTATCCAATGAGCAACGAAAGCCAATTTTCCCAGGATTAAAGCGGCCGGAACCTGAAGCTGATCAGTAAATTCTATCCAGTGCTGAAGTTTGCAGCTATAGTTCCACTCCGCCAAATCTCTTAATAGAGCAGTCAGTATAGCGACTGGCTACTGGCTGGACGACCGAGGGGTCGGAGTTCGAGTCCCGCTAAAGTCAAGAATTTTTCTTCCCCGCAGCGTCCAGACCGGCTCTGGAGCTCACCCAGCCTTCCTATCCAATGGGTTCCGGGGTGTAAAACGTCCGGGGTCTGAAGCTGACCACTCACCTCCAGCTAGTGCCAAGGTCAAGAAAGGTCTTCATGGCGTAGTGCTTAATTAGTTAAGCACAGAGACGTCTTTACATTTTATCTACTTAGTATGTCCCCTTAGAACGGGTGTATCTCAGGTGGGCACAGAATGCAGTATCCGTTCCTGTAAATCGCCGCGTATATCAGAAACGCGTAAAAAGAGAAATGCTCCGTTCGAACACTGAGTACGACGAAGCAGTATTAAAGGACCTGTCCTGACAGCGCGCGCAACTAGTCTGGGCATGCGTAGCAGCTTCTGTCGCTACCCCGCGTATGACACTGAAGTACTATCGAGTATATGGGGAAACGCGGATAACGAAAGCGTGTATATCAAGCGTTACCTATACTAAACGATGAAGGAATTCCAGAAACCCAGCAGCACAATGTGTACCACATGAACGTCGGAGCAAGTTATTACTGACAAGGTAAAGTTGTATTTGATAAATATGAAAAGAAAACGAAAGATACTTGAAACAAACAGCATATTTCTAGTCGAGCTTAAATATATTGATGTTATAGAACTTCAGAGAGATAAAATTCAAATTTTTCTTTCCTATTGCAGGAATACAGACATATACCAAAACGTATAATTTGTGAACGAATGTTGCTTCTCTTTGAGAACTCGCTCGTTTGTCGTTTCATTTTTTTTTTCATTCACTTAATTCTGTACCGATGATTTAATACACCAAGATCTGGACTTATTCCACTGCATTTCGCACAGCTACTTCTGACTTCTATATACATAGAACTGAAATGTAACGGTGAAATGACTTTCAGCTCACAGCTGTGCTGGGAGTTCGCCGTAAACCAGCGGGGCTCGCCAATTGGCGGTCGCTTGCGCTAAACCAATGACATATGGCGTTGCTAACGTTAAAATTGTCTGGAATATTACGAGTAACACATACATGTATTAATATAGGACGGTGAGCGAATCATCTACCTCTCGGTGACCGCAGACACGAGCATTTGCGAGTGGGCATTACTCTCCTCATATAAAGTATAGCTAAATTAATTTTGTGGACACCTTTACGTTTATGAATAAATATTTGTTAGTGTTGTCATTATGCTGCAGATATATTGACGTGTTGGAATGCAAGTCGTGGTCAGTTTTGCCCTTTTCTTTTGTGTATTAGGCGATGAGGAAAATTAGTACCTTCACAAGGGGTCTCACGAACATTACCTCGTCCAGTGTCCTTCGCAATGTCTCAGAGATGCTCCATTTGCCATCTTGCTCATGCGCACAGTTTAAAGGGTACGGACTGATCTTTATCTGTGCCTTTCGTCTTACACAAAAACATGCCAAATGTAAAACCGATATTCATTTATTTAGCTCTTTCCTCATTTTCCTTTCTTTCGTTTTTCTATCCTTCCTCTCCTTTCTTCTGGTGTTTCCTTCTTCCATTGTTTGTTCCAGTTTTTCCTTCTCCCATGCTTTTCCTCTTCCCCCTTTCTTATCCCATCCCTCCTGTTAGCTTAGGTCTCTTTCCTTCGTTCAGTGTTGCTCCCTCTTCTGTTGTTTCATTAAGCAGTATTTGTATTTTGACGAACCTATTAGCCATTCTGTACGAATTGGGAGATTGGGAGATGGTCCAGTTGTAATATTTCTATCCAGATATCTCGAGCAAAGAGTGATAGTGTTTGTGACTTGCATTGGGATGGTGATCGGTTCAGATATCGGTTAGGTCAAAGACTTTACTGTCTGAAATTTAAATACTAGGATATCCTTACGTCCTCTAAACCGATTCTGGGACATTATATTAAATTATTCCCAGGCCACTTCGTTCCACATCTTTCCCAATTCATTATTCACTATCATCTAATCATTCGATATTATCTGAGGTAATGTCACACAGGTGGGTGGATAATATTAAAATTGATCTTAGAGAGATAGGATGGGTTGGTATGCGCTAGATTAATCTGGCTGAGGATAAGGACAAGTGGAGGACTCTTGTGAACACAGTAATGAACCTTCGGGTTTCATAAAATGCTGGTACGTTCTTGAGTAGCTGCGGAAGTGGCTGCTTCTCAAGAAGGGCTCAGTTCCATGAAATTATTTCTTGAGAGCGTAGTAGAATTTGAAATTAATACGTGCCTAGAACGGTATTCGAACCCCCAGCGTTCCCATCACAGCTGGAAACACCTCACGCGGAGCGCTTAAGTAAACGGAAGGACACGGCTTACGTCACTTTCTTTGAGAAAGAGAGTGGACCTGCGTTTGCGACTGCATGAGATAGTGATCGCTTCTGAACGTGTGCGTCGAAGCCCTCAGCGCTACTCTCTGCTACTGCTTGGAGCGGATGTGGGTGTTACCACCGTCTTACCGTCACACACGAAACTGTGACGCTTCTTGGAAATCTCCTGGGCATCCACCTCTTGTCACTGCATCTGTATCTCGAGTTCGGACGCGTTCTGAAATGCCTGTCTGCATATCATGCAAGGCTGAGAGCGGTCAGTCTGCTCCTGTCAGTATGTCGCCCAGTAACGTGTGGCACCGCACAAATGGTTTCAGTAGTACACCCAGTCCTTCACAAGTTCAGCTCTTCTGTTTCTGGACGTTATCCACCCAGAAAACTGTATTAATGTACGGTCGTCACAAGCTTCTAGATCCTTCGCATGTTGCGGACAACGTATCTCGGTTCTAGTGTAGAAAGGTAAAGTTGTCCCTGCGCTTAACTAATTATGTACGTGGTACTGCGCCTTGAAAGCTTACTGGGGAGTAGATGTATAAACCCACGTTTTCTTGACTTTCCCGCTCCGGCCGCTTGACCTCCGCGGAAAGAACCTCTGGTACCCATTGGACAGGAGGCTGAATGGGCCCCAAATCCGATCTGGACGACATTGAGAAATGAAAATTCTAGAATCTACTGGGACTCGAGCTCCAAACCCTCGGTCGTCCAGCTCGTAGCCTGCCGCTATACCGACTGCGCTATTTCACCTCTTCGGCGCCGCTGTACATTTGTCGAATGCTTAGGAACATCATGCAAAATAACCGAACTCGTCACCTCTCAACGGTTGAGTATGCTTAGCAGTAGAAATCGCGCGTTGTGAGTTACGTGTAAATATTCAGTTCTCAATACGTCTGCCGTATTATGGTGTAATTTTTGTAATTATTACATTTATTTTTCAATTGTATTTTCTTAAGAGATTTATTTTCCATTTACGAACACTCCTTACCGGCTGTGGCGTATTCTCGGTACATTTGTCTCAGATTCATTTTTCGGCTATGAGAATTTTCTTAACAAATTCATTTTTTGTCACACTTAAGTAAAATCTATATTCCAAAGCTATTTGCAGATGTTAGTGACAAGAGCAAAAGGAAGAGACTACTTGGTAGACCATAACGCAGTTGGTAGGTTAACTTTAAACAAAAGGGTGTTTATGTTATCGACAGGATTCAACTGGTTCAGGGACGGGCCCTTCCGGAACTGGGTAATGCGGTTTCAGTTTCCGTGGTCAGCTGAGTAGCGTCGAGCGTCTGAAAATGGGCTCTGTCCCACAGAGTTGGTGCCGCTCTGCTTCCTGTCCGACAAACTGATTCCGGTTTTCGCGAAACTAAATGAATGCGTGTTGTAATTTGATATGACCGCCTCTGCTGTCTAGTGGTCAGAGTTCCTGGCTACAGTTCCAGAGGTCCCGGGTTCGAATCCCGGCGCTACAAGATTTTCTGAGAAGTGGTCTGGAACGGGGTACACTCAGCCTCGTAACGATAATTGAGGACATGTTTCAAGGAAATAGCTGATCCGGTCTAGAAAACCGAAATTAACGGCCGAGGGGATTGGTTTCGCTGACCACGCGACATCCTCTATCCGGCAAAGTTGGCACGGACAAGAGGCGGTCCCTCGGTCTGTATAGTTCGCTTGCGGACTACAGGCCACGGAGTTTAGTATTTTTTAGTTTATGCAATTTGATATATTGATGGACAGGCGTGGATCCCAGACAGCTCAGTCGGTATAGCTACAAGCTACAGGCTGGATGGCGGCGCACCAGGGTTCGACAGAGTTTTTTCATTTCTGCACGTTGTCCAGGCACTTTTAAGGGTCCACCCCCCAGCCCTCTGTCCAATGGGTACCACGTAAGTAAATCAGTGGGGGTGTGAAGCTGACCATTCACCTATGTGTGTGCTGTTGAGATTAAGAATGAGTGGAGATATATCTCCGGGACAAGTTCATCTTTGCCACAACGATGTCCATGTGTACCTTTCGGCAGCGATTTCTGTTGGTTCGTGCAGTTTCAGAACCTGCATCAGTTACTGCGTAAAGTGGCTAGGCCTGTTGGCTGTGCACATTACCATCTTGTTGAGGCTTTTCACCGTCAAATGGGTCTTCTTGAAGCCCTCGTTCCAGTAGTAGGAAGTTAGCGTGCGTGGAATGTGTGTTGCTGCTGATGACGGGGGAGAGTGTGGAAGGGAAGTAAAGAGAGATGGACATACAGAATGTGATGCTTGTGCCTAGCGGGCGGGTGGAGACGCGGGCCGGCCAGTTGTTGGGGGCGTCAGGCGGGAGGGGGTACGGTCGAGTATTGGTAGTCCTTGTCCCTTCAGTTGCCTGCTAGCTGCCGCGCGGTGTACGTTGTACGGGCGTCATGTCCGTGGACCCACATCTCGGTAACAGCAACTGAAGATTGCGGCACTACCACGTGTTACTGACAGAAGCCGGTTCCAGCAGCTCGGCCATTTCTTTTGCCAAAGGCAGGAGTTCAATAACAAAGCGATACTACAAGAACCCGGAGTACGAACCCAAGACATAAGTTGGTGGGTCAGAGCGAGCAAGACACAGTTTCGAAGACGTAAATTTAGAATAATATTGAAGTGTGTAGGACTGAAGTGTTTTTTATCCTGCCTCTTTGTGAATATGCGATGAGAGACGGTGTGCGCGTGCGCTGTGGCAGTAAAGGCCTTTATCCTGCCTGGCATATGACAAGGATGAAGATGGAGCTCTGAGGTGGGGTGTTTACTTATACTGGTTGCCAATTGGTGCTCCCTTCTTTAAAAAAAATTAATACCTCCTCCCCCTTCGTCCCTGCCCCTACATCGATAACCCTGTCTTATTGATACCTTCCCCTATTATCATCCCCGGCGAGTTTTATTCAACTGGAACCCAACATCCACACACGGACATGCAACCACAAAGTCGCCGTTCTCTCGAATATGACAACCCCCACGTGTGTTGGATGGTGACTGTGAATGGTAGTGACAAGCCTCGCTGTGGTTATGCGAATATCAAGTGATTCGTTAGTCGTAAGTGATACATATTTCCGTTACTTCAAGTATTGCCGCGTTCATGCAGCCATTATGACTAACCCGAGAGTGACATTGTGTGAGTGATTGGTCAGTTTCGGTTTGCGAAATTCACTGTGTGCCCCTCCAACTGTAAGCATGCGAGGAGCGTTTTCTCCGGCTTGTCCTTTGTATTCTGACCGAATAAAGAAGCGACTCTGGCGGAATTGAATAGAGACGCTATACGACGCTGGGTGGAGGAGGCATCGGCGGTCGTCGCTTCCAGAGGCTTTGGCAACAATAATACCGAGAAACCAGGAGTGACGGCGAACAACAACAACACGATTGAGGGGGGCTGCGTGAAGGCGGTGGCCAGTAAAACGGGCCATCAGTGGTTCGGCACGGTACCGCCAGCAGGGCCCGACCATCATCACTGGTGGGCGTCCTGGCACGACTTGTGCAGTTCGGCAGCAAAATCTGTGGGAACAGCGGCAACGATAAGCCCTCCAGCCACCCCCAGCAGTCCATCCATGCCCATGCTACTGCAGCAGCCCCCGTCGCTTCATCGTCACAGCCCACATGAAGAACAGCCCCTGGATTTCTCCGTCGGAACTATGAGTAAACACAGAGAGTCGCCGATTAAGAGTCAGGGTCATAAGATGCTGCAACAAAATGGTGGCCACCATATCGCCAGACATCACAGGAACAACAACAAACATAATCAGGACGAAGCCCTCAGTAGAAGTTATCACCAACAGCAACAACAAGTTTCTAGCAGTAGTTCTTCTGAAGACGAAGGAGTTGGTCCTCCCTCGCCCTCGGCAGCAGAATCGCCTGGACCTCTCCGGGGAGATGGTGAGTCCACACCCCTAGTCGGGTGCCCGCATGTCCGCCGCAATGGCTACTCACCCTCTTCCTCTCCTGCGGTGTCCCCATTTGTGTAGTAAATGTCAGTTATTTGTTTTCAATTAGAAATTTTGCCTCGTTTTCTACTTCGTTTTGGACAGATAGGCATTAGCAAAACATGATTAAAAGATATATTAATATATTTCTGTAATCTCTGAGGGAAAGAAATTATATTTCGCGTGACCATTATACACACGGTCTGCGCGTTGCACTGAACAGTGTTTGTAGGAAATCTTATAAAGTTAGCTAAGCCGTGTTCGTGTTATGGATCATGAATTATTTAGGTATACGTGTGAGACTGTGGGAAAGCCGCGGAAAACTGGCTTCTGCCGTTAATGAATACGCGCTTCCTCGACTCGCAGACGGTCAGAGCGCGAAGTTTATTATCTGCGATACTGTAAGTTCGCAGCTGCAACTCCTAGCAGCAGAAATCCCTCCGCGATGATACTCTTCTACCTTAAACTTTAACGTAAGTGCAACTCGGTGAAGGCGGTCCCATGTGTGAGGCTGGAGCCAAATGTATTGACACATAACTTTTTTTTTTTTCAAAAAAAAATGCACTGAATTTGATTTGTTTTCTTAGATCGGTTTATTTGTATTTATCTCACGTGAGATATAAAATTAATGTTATCCTCCTAAAGGTTCATTACATCTCTCTCCGTCTGTGTCTCTACAGCCCTTTGTTGGACCTCGGCCGCTTTTTCAGTTTGTTAATCCTATACACAGTCGATAGGACTCGCAAGGCTGCTATCCACACACAAACATCCATGTCTTTGTGGGATTCGAACCCACGAACCCAATGTTCGAGCGAGCGAAGACAGTTCTTGCTTCAGGCCACGTTGCCGCTGTGATCGGCAGATTGTCACCTGCGTACATTGTCTCACAGAAAACACACTGCTTCTCCACTACAAAAGCCGATGCTCTTGAGGATAATATCTCGTCTATTGCGAGAATCATACGAAACAGTACACTTTGTGGGAAAGATGCGAAGATTTTTAGTGGTAAATTAAGTGGCGTGTGTATATAGTCTATACTTCACACCGTGCGTTGAATTGTTAATAGGTAATTTGAATCGTTTCATTGGTGACACAGACACACGTGCAGGAGTTGTGATGCCGCGTCGCGCACCCTGTCCCGTGGGAGTGAATATTTCTACCGTTCTGCTTTGGTTCAGATGGATACACCCGCACTTCTAGCATTGTCTCACGGATAAAAGTTTGCAGAGGGTCGTGACACTTGCTCGTAGTGGAAAGAAAGAAAATGACATTTAATATTAAAAAATTAAAATTGGACAGTTTAAGAGCACTGATTGTTTACTGCTAGACCGTATGAATAACTGTTTGAAGACAGATATGCAACTGATTTGAAAGTTTCTGCCCAAATCACCCATAATTCGTAAAGATTGTGAGCCCCCTTCAGCCGAAAGTCATCGAGATATTTCAGAATGTCACTTCGTCATTCGTTGCGTCTCAGGTAAATATAGTATGCTGGAAGGAATACCCGTTCTTCACCCGGGATATGGTTGTTTTCATTGCCAGTACCGTAACGTTAAGACATAAAGGTTTACTTGTGTTCGTAATTAATTGGAAATGAGGGTGGACTCGAATCTTACGTTGCAGAATTTGCACTTCGTTTGAACAGGAGTTGCCACCGTATATATTGGCAGGAGTGTTGTTAAAATGTCTGCATAAGGTCCGCTGTGGGTAACAAAAAGCGTTTTACACTTTGTTCATATATTACTAGACATGATGTAATGTAACTACTTATTTGGCTGTTAATTGAATTAGCGCCGGTTGCTCAGCCGCACTTGTTATAATCCTACAGCATCAACAGGTAGAGTGATCTGTGAAAGCTGTCCCTGTGCTTAAGTACGCCATGAGGGCGTATGAGGGGTTGGATGTATAGATACCTATTGGCTTGACATCGGCACTCGTTGGAGCTGAATGGTCAACTTCACGCCCGGGCCGCTTCACCCCCGGGGAAAGAGTCTCCAGTACCCATTGAATTGGGGCTGGTTGAACCCGCACGTCTGGACGACGTGGAGAAGAGATAATTCTTGACCCTACCGGGGCTCGAACTCCTCTGCCGTCCGGCCCGTAGCCAGTCGCTATACCGACTACGCCTTCCCGGCTCCCACAGTGATCTGTATAGCAATGTGGAATTAAGTTACCGCAGTCCGCTTTTGAGTTACTGCCCGCAACAGACAATGCAGTTTGTCTGCGCTTGTGTACAGAATCGCTTCGAGTTCCAAGTATGTCCGTTTTAATACGGATTTTAAGGCCTAAAAAGCAGCATAAAATTAATATTCTTTTTCCGTACCCAAACTTGCTGAGTTATGTAGTATATTATGATGAGTGAGTGTCTTACTTACCGCGGCTTGTACTTCAGCAGAATCGCCTTTGAACTTTATCTTACCGATTTCGGTTGGTAATGATTTATTGTAAAGAACCGTAGGCTTCAGGAACATGTCCCGAATCCCAAACGTGCCACAGAAAACGTTCATTTTTTTATATAAATACGCCTAAACTCTATGGGCGCCGCGGAAATTATTTGAAGTATTATGAAACAAGAGACCATTTCTTAATTTTATGCTCTCTACAGAAAAATACTAGGCCGAGGGACACAAGGAGAATGAGATGTTCACGGCATGTAGCACAAAAGGCGTAGATCAGAAATCATACAACATTAAGTGGACTATATTTCGGAGGATATTATTAAAATATATCATAAAGGACCCTGTCGCATTGACGTATCGCTCGTCAGCTCAGTCTGAATGCATCCTAAAACTGTTCACAGTCTCCCTTTAATTTAATATAACATTAAAATGCCATAAATTGGAACATGTTTCGTCCCCACTTGGCCTTGTTCAGGCAGTTGTTCACACTAGATTATGTTTGAGAATAGAGTTCTGTCCGTTCTGCGTTATTTTACCTTTGCGGCGTCCATGTTTGTGCCCCCTTCGTAGGTATATATTTGGGCCCTGTTCCATGTAAACACGGACAATGCAAGGAAATATATTGACTTGATATCTGTTGCAGTGCGACGGTTTCAAAAAGTGAACAATTACTTGAAGATGGCCAAGTAAGGCCGAAATATATAGCAATTGATGCGATTTTAATATTATTTCAAATTAAAGAGAGATTATGAACAGTTTAAGTTACATTGAATGAGTGAGGGTTAAAGTAATGAGCCATTAGGGTAAAACTTCTTGACTGGCTAAGTGACTATTAAGAACGCAGGCTTCTGAGTTGTAGAGTCTTGTAGATCCAAACAGCCCAACCTTTGGGAGGAAGGTATCACTGCCATCTTCAGGACCTAAGATTAAACTAAGCAAAAAACCAGTCGAAGACAGCGGCGAGCTGAACTCGCCATAGTTCTTCCCAAACTACACGGCGTTACAACCCAGACAACATACGCTTCATAGTCACCTTAACAGGAGGACCTGAAAGCCGATGCAGACAGTTGGCGCCGTACAAAACAACTTGACACAATTTTTTGTAACGTCAGAAATATTTCAAACGTTCAAATTGTCCTTAAAATATTGGGCAGAGAATAGAGAGACACGTGTGGATTTAGAGTGCTAATTCTGTTTGAAGTGCAGCAGACGAGGAAACAACCGGCGGGAAGTGTCAGGTGCAAGGCAAAGCCGTCGATCCTCGCTTAAAGACACCGAGTTAAAATTTACAACTCTCTATGTCTCGCATGCTCACTGTAGTTCGTTTGGTGATGCGTTATTCACGAACAGTAAAGCATGTATATTTTGATTGCGTTCTCATCGAAATGTTTAAGAAATCCGCCCATAACTTCACCATTTCTGACTCCCCGTCCCGAAGCAAATAGGTGAAATCATTTTTATTTAATCTGATATTCGGGAGGCTCACTAACATTTGTGGAGCGGCTCCAGTTCTGGTGAAATCGCAGACGAGCGTCGGGCGAGCACTTTCCCGCTCTTGCGCTCACATCTCCAGCAGAGCTCGTTACGTGTTTACGGGCGAGAAATATTTCGTAGGAGAACTGTAGAGCAGCATTTTCTCACAAGTTGTAGGATTTTCGGTATACATTAAACCCTCGCTAATCCGGATTAATTGGGCTGGGAGCGTCATCCGCATTAACCGATAATCGGGATTAGTGAAGCAAAAATAGCCCTAAAAGACAAACAAAACTTAGTATAAAACTATCACTGCAAGTTTCTTCCTCTATCTCCTTCATCCAGCTCAAACCAATCCTGGATGCTTTTTCCTGTTATAACAGTCTCTCCAGTTGCCCTCAGTCCAATCTATATAAAGGTCCTCTTGCTCTAATCCCTCTTGCTACTAAATCCAATGTGTCTTTTGAACTATGTACTCAACTGTGAAAAGAATTTTTCATCTTTCATATTTCGATCCGGATTATCCGACATATGGATTATCGGGGATTTACTGTAATTAGGAAAGCGTTATCGCCCTGGAATTGTTACGATATGGGAATATTTCCTGCTTTGTTGAGGTTTACTCAGTCAGGCATCTGAAGGCTGTATGAGTTCATATAAACTTACCTTGTTTCCCCTTTCGTTATCTAACGCCCGCTCTCGGCACCGAACCTGTATGCTTACGATTTTATTATAGACAAATTGGAAAGGGTTTGAATGGATGCGATTTTGGCCTAATCGAGATAATATTCCGGCGAAAACAGTGTGTCCCGGAAGTAGCTCGAACCGAGAACCTCCCAAATGCAAGTATATAGAGTGTTACCTATAGACAAGTCTGTTCGTTCGGATAAATATTCCTGCAGTGCCGTGTTTGTGTCTGTCGTTGAGAGCTGGTTCGACTCCAGTGTTGGAGAATCGAAATGTGAACAGATTTTGAAGGCAGGAAGCACACTTACATAGGTTTCGATAAGAAAATACACGACTCGAAGTGTAGCGACCGGTAGCAAGCGTGAACGTGAAGTTTGCTGTCGAATTGTGTCGT